ATAGCAGAACGGATCCCCTGGCATTAAGGCCTTCGTGGTTCTCGGCGGTGTCATTGAAGTAGAACGCATCCGCTTTCAATGTGATGGAAGCGCTGGCACGCCGAAAGGAATGCACTTGGGTGGTGGAAAGTTGGGCCGATCTGGGGTGAATATAGTCGATGGATCAGCATGCGCCCTCATTTTCTTGATAAAGTGGTCGCGTGGTGTTACTGGTCTGCCGCATCGACCTTCAGGCGTTCTTTGTTGAAGGCCGTGGAGATCGTTGGCAAATTCGTGATCGCATAAGTTTGTTTTTCGCTTAACTTAACAGCAAAGTGAAACAATAGCTCGTTTCAGCGTCTTTCGATCAGGTGAGGGAGTAACGAGAACGACTGGGCGCAACGCACAAGTGGAAGGTATATTCCTAACCCCCGGTTTGATGTGATTTGGTTTTCAGCGTACGGATGAATGATAATTGTGGATGTAATTACGCGCTTATAGTAGCAAGCAGTGCCAGTGATGCCAAACGGACATATTTTACGAGTATGAACAGCAATTCGTAAGCCTCGTGGTAATCACGAGCCGCTCATCGCTGCAGCCCCTTTCACCGGGAAGAAAAGCAAGTATGACACAATTTTACTGCCAAAGTATTTTTTGTTTACTGCTGCTAATTTCTACTACCGGGCTTTCCGTTCCAGTTTGGCAAGTGCGTCTGCTTTGAGAACAACAAAGCTGTTGAAGACGTTTGTGCGCAACAGGCGTGAAACGTCATCCCAACAAAACGAGCATAATCCAGCTATATTTATCACAACAATGAAGCGACTCAAAGCCTTAGTGCCAGTAAAAGCACGGCTTAACGCATCATCGGATTGATGTTTGACGGCAAAACACAGCGCGGTGTTGCTGGTCTGGCTGCCCGGCCCGCGATCGCCGCGGAGAGCGAGGACCATCCTCGCTAGGTGGCGCCACTGAACGGACCTGGGCCGGAACGGACCCCGGTGCCTCGGCGGGTCCGTTAGGGCTCGTCGGCGGTATACCGCTGACGTCCGGAAGCCGGCACCACCAAGAGCGCTCTGGTGCGGGCACACCATCGATGATCGATGCAAGAAGTTGCCGAGCGAGGACCAAGCGTCGGAACGCGGAAGACATGCCGGCACCCACTCGCTGCGGGGGCCATCATTGGGATAGTCCAGCGCCGTTCAAACCCAGGGGACGTCGACGAGGCGAGCGCTGGTCCTACTCGGCGAAGCATCGTCGAGAGGCACCGCCACAGTGGTCGATAGATCTACGTTGACACAAAGCGATGCGTGAAAGGGAACCCAGAGCTGGGCTGCTGGGAGTACATCGCCGCCCCTCGGCTCTGCAGCTGGTGACGCGGCGCTCCTGGCTGCCCATGCGCGCCGGACACCGGACCGCCTTCGGCCCAGCCGATCTGGGTTCGATGCCACGGTCGATGGGCCGTAGAGCCATTCAAAAGAGACGCCCCGTTATTCCGCGGGCGCACTCGCAGGTCAGCGCGTCTCGGCGATCGATGGCGCTCGAACCGCCCCAGGCTCTGGCTGCTAGCACGTCCAAGTATTGACACTGAACAATGGTTGGCTACAATTGCCGGCGTCATCACGCGGCTCCCAACGTCACACAGCCGACAGTGTCGCCATGACAACCCTGAGAAGCGGTGGCTAACTTCTGAGGCCTCACCTCGCCTGCGTTGTCCCACCCTCGTCTAACAGGATGGGAAGATGTGCCTTACCAGCATTAACAAATGCCCCTCAGAATCCCAGCTCTATGCTGCCCGTCCCTGCTCCTCTAATGATACTGAGTGTTCCTGAAATCGGTGCGAAATGGTTCTATAGCCGCACAGAGGTTCGCCGACCGGGGATTGCTTGCGGTAACTGACGCAGTTGGGATCATCCCGGCCAGATCATCCCGGAGGACGGACTCCCGGAAGATGTGCCGCATGGATCACCTGCTTTGGGGAAACCTACTGCTGAAAGTACTGCGCTCGGATGATCTACGCTGGGAAGATCTATGCCCAAAAGCTTACTCCCGGAATGCTTGCGCTGTGAAGACCTATTGCCGGGAGACCCACTTCGCGAACGTCTACTGGCGATGTCCTTAATCGAGTCAGGACGAACAGGCGGCAACGGACGACGACACAATGGATGGCCGATCTTATTATTTTAAAGCTCTTATGTTGAGGTAACAACCTTCAATGTATTGTACGCTTCAATGTATCTTCAATGTATGCAAGACGTACTGCTTAAATACATTGCAGAGTATAACGACTCTAATGACGGTAGTAATATCGTTCAAGGTAAACGATATTTAGTACTACAACGTTAACAGTGCCTCCCGCTATATTGAAGATTGTTTACTTAACACAAGAGCGTTCATCTCATAATGCCGAAAAATCAGAAGCTGAAAATTAGAAGCTGAAGACCCTTCTTATACTATGTGCAAGTGTGCTAGCCAGAGCGGACTAGGGCCGGCTGGCTGGGGTGACCTGAAGGGCCGTTATGGCGGCCTGCTGACCACGAAGCGTGGTATGCACTGATAGGTCGACTCACTGGACCCATCTCCCACCACACAAGCCGAATATGGTGCCAGAGTCGACTCGCAGGATCGGAGATCGGCCGAAGATCCCCACCGGAGGATCGAAGATCGGCCGAAGATCCCCAACGGAGGATCGGAGATCGACCGAAGATCCCCACCGGAGGATCGGAGACCGGCTGGAGATCCTGACTCGATCAAAACAAAACAGCCCGGAGCTCTAATGCGGAGGTTCTCTGGGCGTAGGTCTTCAGAGCGCAAGGTTTCAGAGCGCAGATCTTCCGAATGCAGGTATTCACAGCAGTAGATCTCTGGAGAGCAGGTCTTCAGATCGCGGGTATTCTGGTGGTAGGTAACCTCAGCGGTTTGCTTTCCGAGCGTACTCTTCCGAGCGTAGCTGTTCCGAGCGTAGGCTTTCCAGACATGGGACTTCCAAGCGTACGCCGAGAATAGGTTTTCCCGGCCTTGGCCTTCCGGGCATAGACCCTCGAAACTCCAAACATGTCCTGCGGGGGTGGGTCCTCGGACTCTCCTGCCACCGCTCGGGCCAACGCGGGCCGGGCGCAGGCGGGGCGCGGCCGGCCGCTCCAGCCGCCATGGGAACGCGTCCGGTGGCGCCGCCGGGGTCGCGCCGCTTCGGTGTGCACCGCACGTCACGCTGGAGTGCGGAGAAGTGTCGCTCTGAAAGCTCGTGACCAACACATAGTTGCACACGGTCTGCATGCAATGGGTGGATGGAGATCAATACCATTATTTGATTCTGGGACGGTGTGCTCGTTAAGCTCCACATGACATACTAGCAGTTTTCACGGAGGTTTGCTGCGTCATGGGATTCGTAGAGTTATCATTTGTTTGCAGATGTGGACTGCAATGTTTAAGATAATGTTAACCCTCGCCCTGATAGGGGATGGGGTCGATGCGACTACGCCCCCCCACCCTCACCCCCATCCTCTCCCGTCGGTTTTCTGTAGATAATTCTGCGTATTTTGAAACCCAAAACTTGTCGCAGGCGTTTATGGTTTCGGAGCAGCGACGGGACGGCGTTGTTTCGTTAATAGAGCCGTACGTCATAAGCAAATGCTTAAAACACATAAAACTATAACACATAAAACAAAAACACTTAAAACCATTGCACTAAGAAACAAACAGAATATGTGCCAGTTTAGATTTCGTGGCTTCACGGGTCATAGTTCGTACATACGAGCATGCAAAGCTGGAAAGGTTTCGATTTTCGGGAAAATTTTGCATTTCATCTGGCATATATGGATCAATTATTGGTTATGGAATATAAAACTAATCATCGGTCGCAATATCTCATTGAGATCAATCCGCTGGTTCGGTGGATTTCAAATATCACACATCAAATAACTTCCATGTTTCCTAGTTTGGCAACAGCCTGGTTGCATCAAACCCTTCCTCCTACCAGTCCTCGTTATGAGGATCGGCAGATCAGGGCGCGACCACGCTGTCATTATATCTCAGGCTAGTCAACGCGATTGACGTAGTCATGATTTCCAGCAGCAAATAGTTGTCCTGCCCACGAAATCTTCCCTTAGAAAATGTTGCTCCGAGACCACTTCGCAGTCGGAGCATGTTTGTCAATGATATACTTAGGACTATGGATTCAGACAGAAGAAATTTGTACATTCATAGTATCTGGAGCGGAAAGTGGATTAGACAATCTCAGAAAGTGACCTTTTGTGACAATGGGTATGACGCACTTCGTATAGTATCCAACACATGTTTGAACCATTCTTCAATCCGCGCTCGGATTGTCTTGCGTTTGTTGTCCGGCCATCCCCAAAATGCGTGTTCCGTTCTCCGCCATGTAAATTCCGCTCACTCCTGCGCCTTGTGCGTGACCGCATTAGACCGCAATGTCCTGGGTAATGAATGTTGGATGAAGATAAACAACCTTCTCATGCATATCTCGGGAAGCAAGCCGACGCCGGCACTTTAGGCGTATGGAGCTCAGCTATTCAGTTAGCAAAATTAGCATCTCGCACATGCGGGTATTGCCAAGCAGACTTCCAGCACCATGCGCTGTTTGAGATAGTCTTCCGGATGTTGCATCTACTCGAGTATCTGAACCCAGCTCCTTTGAACGCCATAATTAAACGTTGTTTTTGTCAGCCAGGAAAACGTGGGGTAAACGCAGGTACCACCGCACGGTCACTTGCACCACAGAGGTGCGCAGACCGGAGCAAATGTGCCGATTTATTTTGTCCCGACAGTGATTCGCTTATGCAGGCGTTATTGCGCACGAGGGCATCACGTGGCTCGCCATGTATGTCAAATTAGTGGCCGGCGGCGAGCGGCGTCAGCGGCGGCGCGCAGCACTATCTGTTGCGGCGTGTGCCACGCGCGCCGCCCGGCCGGAGGGGTCAGCCCAGATTGGCGGCGGCCGCCGGTCACCGGCGCTAATCTGGTTTGCCCGTCGTGACTGATGCCCACGCCATCGGTGCTGGCAGGGCGCGGGGACCGGCTCATGAAGACGGTGGTCGTGCGCGCCGGCGAGAACGCCACCATCCCGTGCCCGGGGCTGACCGAGGTCGGCCGCGCCGCCGACTACATCATCGGCCGGCTGACCTGGACGTGCCCCGGCCGGCGGCCCTGCCCGGCCGCCGCGCCCACGGTAGGTGGCTCGAACTGCACGCCCGCCCCCCCCCCCCCCCCCGGCGGCCGGCTGCCGCGTGCAGGCGGCCTGATGACAGACGTGCAGGTGGCTTGATGACAGACGTGCAGGTGGTCTGACCGCAGACGTGCAGGCGGCCTGACCGCAAGCGTGCAGGCGTGCTGATGACAGACATGCAGGTGGCCTGGCCGCAGACGTGCAGGCGGCCTGACCGCAGACGTGCAGGCGTCCTGATGCCAGACGTGCAGGTGGCCTGACCGCAGACGTGCAGGCGGCCTGATCGCAGACGTGCTGGACGGGGCGTGCAGTGACGATGGAAGCATGGGATCCGAACCACATTTTGCGATGAATGGAACCTTGTGGGGAGCAGAGAAAATCATGGAGACCTAAACGCTGTATTCACTTATGCGATGTGCTACACGTGTTCCTGTTTTGGCGGCGGGGAGCAGAAAATTGACACTTAACTCGGATATTAAGGCATCTTACCTTATGTCTACCAAGTTTGGAGGTTTTGGGGTTAAATGTTACTTAAGCTAAAAACTGCGGGTGGGAGTTGTTGTACATTGACAGATTGGTGCGTTAAGTGATATTTTAGATGACATTTGAACTAAATACTGGGCGTGAATCGCCATCTGCTGGGCTGACATTAAGCGTCGTCACTTCTGTTCTTTGCCATCTCCGTTAAAAATGTAGTTAACCCACGTCCGGCCGGAGGGAGGGAGCTGATTTCCACAACGGCATTTCGAGGACAACCAAAACACACTTGCTGCAACCCCACATCCTTAGAAGCTATTAATCCATCAGTTTGGCATCCTTTGTGCAAATTTAAAGCAAGGTTTTTTGTCTAGGCTAGCGACCTAAGTTAGGTCAAATTGGTCAACCCCTAAAAAGTTTTTATCACGCATAATTTTTTATGTCATTTGCCATTGCTCCAGCTTTAGCGAGAGAACACGATAATTCCTACAGTTTGCTTCCTTCATATTTTTCCAAACATGCGGATCAGTAAAATGAGGTCCAGTCAGTTATTGCTATTTCTGCAAATAATGCAACCCGGTACGTATTTTTGTGCGGTTCTGGTGTTTGAACATGAGGAAGAATACTAACTAACATTCACAACCATCGCATGACCACAAAGCCAAAGGCATTGACCTAGGTGGTGACCTACCTTTATGGGCATCTTCTGCAAGACACATGCCTAGCTCAAAACAAAAGGTTTTATTAGGTACTGTTTTTTGGGGGAGGGGAGAGCAGACTCCCAGTGCCCCACTGAAAATATATTGTGAAATCATTCTAATGCATAATAAGGCCGCATTAGGTCACATGATGACAGGCAAGTTACAATGACGTCATCCAAAGTCAATGAATTATATTGTCAGTAGCGCGCATGCCAGCGGCATTAGGGGTCTCCAAATTTGTCATCACTTAGTGATAGAGGCGTCCAAGGGGAATTGCGAAAATAAATGTCCCCAATATGATATATTGCTGTATTCTGTACACAATATATCAGGCCTGATTGTACCAGCAACAGGCAGCCGGGGGTCCGGCCGGCCGGGGCCTTGACCGTGCTTCTCGGCTAATGGGAAATAGCGTGGGATGTTGGGCGAGCGCACAGAGTGCAGCTACAGAAGAGCACTTTGCTGGCCAGTTAGACACGCTAACGCTTTGCGCTCTCTTCTGTCAGGTTTCTAAATTTGGCCTAAGCTGACCCCATGTCATTTCTTGGTCCGTCGTAAATGACATTTGTGTGTCTGAGATGATTCTGTTTCACAGCTGCAGCTCATAAGATAAGCTTAGTCCGAAGTGCAATGTGGAAAAAAAACATCAATGACTCGTCCTTACAGTTTGCTGGGAGACCAATTTTAAACGGTAATCTGACGCGCCTCTTGTGGTCAGAATTCTTGTGGTCAACAGAAACGGCCGGAATGGATTCCCCAAAGTTTTAAGGCGGACTTACATGCCCTCAATATCCGTCTTGACTAATTAGCACGTACTCGGGTGGCCGGTTGGATGCCTTTGGCTTGGGGGAGGTCAACTTGACTCCCCTAAGACCTCAGGAACCAGGAGAGCTAGAGACACCAGATTCACAGGGCTTGTTGGCCTATACGTGAACGCACTGAGGTCAAAGTTTGAGGCTCTAAGACTATCACCTTCTGGTCAAATAAGGTCAAACAAAGTCAAACTCCAAGCTGGTTTTCAAAGTGTCTCCAAAACCTAGGTACCTGTTCTCAGCAAAAGATAACATGCTCATTTAAAGTCAGTGACCTTGTTTGACATTTTGAAGGTCATAGTAACCAAAATCACGCAATAATCAGCTTTTGACAAACAATTTGAATTTGAATGCACTTGCATTTTGCATGCGAATAAGTGACAAAGTTTGCGCTAGGCAGTATGTTCCTAAAAACGCAATGTGACCTGGGCCATTTTAATTCACTGACCTATTCCGAGCTTTAAAAAGCCATGGAAGGTGTCTAATGCGGTTCTTCTAATCACTACATTTTAAATAAGCGCCAGAAACTATCTCATTCAGCAAGCCCTAGAATGACAAAACAGGTTGGTTTTGACTCTCTTCGGACTGAGTGCCGGACCCTAGTTCAATGGAATTTGAGCATTCAATGCTGTGTTGCCTAAGAAAGTCTCTCAGACATGTGTGGCTTCGTCTAGCACTCCGTTGTTCCAAAAGATTGATTTTTTTTAGAAATTGACTTCGCTGAATCTATGGCCTGATTTGGACCCGCTGTAGGTCAGTGACCTTACAAGTTACATCGGAATTTTTGGCACCAAACGATCTACCATTCATTTGTCTACAGGTATGCAAAATTTGGCGGGGCGTAGCCACGTCAAATTTTGTGCGGAAACTGTTCCGGAAAAATCCTTGGAGGGATTAATTTGACCACCATCCGAACGCGTGTTAGCATATGTTTTGACTGCGTTTATCAGAACGACCTTTTTTACCTTTTGCAACCTCTGGTGGCCTCACATTTGGCCTAATATCGGAAATTTGGTATGTATTTTTTATTATTTGATGAGGCCTTCACAACGGTATCATTGTTCATCCCATTCGGCGTCTGGAAGTTGGAGAAATCGATCTTTAGAATATGCGACGCATTTCGCATTGAGGCTTAAACTATGTCAGATATATTGGTCTATCATGTGTATAAAATCACAAATGCCCCACCGCATGTCTACAATAAAGGCTGAGGTGTTTTATGGTACCGTAGATCGATGCATTTTCCACGTTACGTACCATGCCAGATTAATGGGCACATGCAAGCGTGTGTGAGGGCGGAGCCGTCCATCCTCCGGCCTAGTCTGATCTCAATGTTGAGTCTATAGACATACTTAAATATATCTCCAAAACCAAGCATACATCTACCGTACCTACGGTAATTGTATGCCGTGCAATATAGTAAACAGCTGGAATAAATAGCTGATTTTGAAGACTTTTCCAAAACCTCTGGCCTTCGTCCTCAGCAACAGGAATGTGGCCAATCTCCCGGCAAATGACGTAACAGTCAATTGACTATCAAGTTAGGTGACAGGATGCGATGGAAATGACGCAGCATGTTACCGGGTGAACCACGGAGTTAACGTTGTGAATCACAACACATTCAAAAAGTAAAAGAAGCTTGTAATCGGCATATTGAACTGAATTCCACCCCGCTGATTTGTGCCAGGAAATGTAAATGTTTGTCATCTTTGTTAAGTTTGCTGAGTCAAAAGAATAACGAATATTCTTGAGAATATCTTACTTCATCAGTACATGGCACCAACAATAAACGCTTTCAGCATTGAACTGGATGTTGGGCCGCTTTTCTACCACCTAAAGGCGTGCCGATATATTTCGAGTATGACATTGGTGATTATTGTAATATAGACGCACATTACACAAATGCGACGTCTGTATATGAACAGGAACTCATCCCTGTCTTTTCAGGTGTTGCCTGTCTTTTGCGGTCTTGGTTCAATTTTAAATGCATTTAGAAGCTTTGATGCATCTTTGGTGACCGTGAACAATAAGGCTGTAATGTCTGTGACATATGCGCACACATACTACGACCGTCCCGAGAACTCGAGCTCAAACAATGGAGTTCTCGAAGCTTTGCGCGACCCATTCACCGAAGATAGAAAGTATGCCGCCGAAAGACATTTGCATATAATTGGTCCATTGCCAGACAGGTGCCGCTCCAATGAGGCGGAGGACCACTTGAAAGCTAATACCCGTGCAGAGCCATTTGGCTCCATTACGGGCAGCGGGTGGGTCGACGAGCTCACGGGGGGTGAGGGCTCCAACTTCAAACGGCGGCACGGCTATCGCGCTCGCATATATTAAACCTTTTTGGACTACTCTGCATCGAGAATAGTAAATCATACCGGTGAAATTAGGCGCCGTCGTCGCGCTGGCGCACGGACAGGGCCCAGGTAGCGTGTCGTGCGATGCTCATAGGCGTTTAACTCTCACGCTGGGGTTGGGCACGGGTTAGGATGTAATATTTCGTGAAACTTTCCGTTAGTGCAGCTAACTCAGTTGTATTTTTTCCCCGCGTCGGATCAGAGTTTCCAATCGCTTGCTAGAGCCCGGCGCCTGTGGACTGTGCTGACGGTGCGGTCTGCGCGCGCGCGGTTCGCCAGCCGCGGCCGACAAAAGCTTGACTGCATTAGGACAGGTTAACGATTGGAGGGAGCCGATGCCGAACTGGTCTCATGACGTCACTGTCACCGGCCGCGCCCAAGGCCACGCCTTCGAGCACGCGACGTCACGTGACCTGGTCCGGTCGCGGGGTCACAGGTCAGATGGATCAGGGCAGAGACTGCCAGGTCAGCACAGCGGGGCGCAAGGGCGAAGGATGGTTTCGACGATGAACGGAAGCCATGACGTTTGGCAGTTGTACGTTGGCAAATCGATTAGATCTGACGTGAAGAGCATGAGCCCATTGGTATTTGGATTTCATTAGGAAAAGGTTTACGAGTCATCGACGCCGCATTATTTTACGGCACACGCT